GCATCTCGTCAGCTCTAAATATGATTGCAAGGACAAATATACCAGGTTCCATTTCTTGGCCCCTAGTGAAATGACTGAGGCATTGATTGCAAATGATAAAACTATGAGATGAAGGACTGATAGCAAACTATGAGATAAAAGACTGATAAGAAACAGTCTTAGTGGGACAACCAGACCTGGTATGCCTCCCTGGTCACAGAATAAGGGTAGGCAACAGGACCCCTCCCCCAGGAGGGAATGTGTTGGAACAATTTAACACGATTTTAGTCTAACCTTTGAGTAGTGCCTCAGACCAGCATCATTTGAAATTTAAAAACTGGTTATCTGAGACTCTCAGTCCTTGAACTAATCAGACTAGAGTTGGACCTAGAGATTTAATGTTCACCAGATGCTGCAATGCGCATTTTGTATTGAGAGGTGATTTACAGTTATTATCGAAGAAAAAGAAACAGGCTTTGTGGCAAAGCAAGCTGACAAATCCAGTGAGAGGGATACATCTGGAATAACAGCATCTCATAATGTTGATAAGGGCGGAGCCACTCCCTGTGTGGAATTTGTGCATTCTCCCATGTCTGTGTGGGTTTCCTTCAGGCATTCAGTTTCTGCAAGTCCTGAAGATGTGCACACGAGGTTCACTAGCATGTCTCAATTGTCCTGTCAGCGAGTGTGTGTTGTGTATTCTGCAATGGAAGAGCATCCTGCCCAGGTTTGAGTCCTACTTTGCACACTGAGCTACTGGAATAGGCTGTCTCCTACCCTACCAAGAACTAGAGTATTTGGGTTGGAAAAAAAAATGTATATAAATAATATTTAACTATTACAACGAAGTGTTATGGCTCTTTATTTGGAGGATTCATGTTATTGTGATCAGAAGTATGCTACAGGAACTTAATTCATATTCATATCAATTAGCCTATGGTAAGTTGGTTTTGTTACATGTTATTTCACTTAAAGTGGAGGTTTTGAAGAACCTATAAATGATATCGAGTGAGGACTCACTGTGTATCTCAAGATGACTGAACCCATTTGTGTAATAAGTCAAAGATTCTCTAGATTAAAAGGAACTTCAGGGCCTCCTGGTGGCGCAAGGGTTAAGACACAACCTGTGAAGCTATCCACAGTCACTACAGCACCAGGGAGCAACCCTCATGGCACAGCAGACCTCTCCTGACTCACCCTCTGCTCCCCTCAGCAGTGTACTTTGGTCAATCTGCCTGTTCTGTTCCCCACTCTGTCTCTGGTGAATCCTCTCACCTCCCCCACTCCCCCCACTCATCTCTGGCCTGTACCCCAGCTCTTGTATGCACAAATAAAAAATAAATCTTTAAAAAAAAAAAAAAGGGCCTCCCTGGTGGCACAAGGGGTTAAGCACCACACTATGAGCAATTCACAGCCTCTGCAGCACAAGTTCGATCCCCGGCCAGCCAGGGAGAAACCCTCTCCTGTCTCGCCCATTGCTCCCCTCAGCAGTGTGTTTCGGTCAGTCTGCCTGTTTTGTTCCCCACTCTGTCTCTGGTGGATCCTCTCACCCACCGTATCTCTGGCCTGTGCCCCAGCTCCTGTGTGCATAAATGAATAAATCTTTAGGAAAAAAAAGAGAAAGAAAGACATTGTGAGATGATCAGAGAAATGTGATCATGGATGGTGTCAAACATCCAAAGAATGATTGTGAATTTTGTTAGCTGTGACAATTTCACTGTCATTATGTAAAAACAAAAACAAAAAAACTAAGCACGGAAATTATAAGAGTAAGATGACATGATAGCTGGGATTTGCTTTAAAATACTTCAGGAAATAAAAGAAAAATTAAGAAGGGACAGCTGGGGGCCTCCCTGGTGGCGCAAGGGGTTAAGACGCAATCTATGCAGCTATCCGCAGCCAATGCAGCACAAGCTTGCTCCCTGGCTGGCCAGGGAGCTACCCACATAGCACAGCAGACCTCTCCTGGCTTGCCCACTGGTCCCCTCAGCAGTGTACTTTGGTCAATCTGCCTGTTCTGTTCCCCGCTCTGTCTCTGGTGAATCCTCTCACCCCCCACACCTCTGACCCATACTCCAGTTCTTATGTGCATAAATAATCTTTTTTTAAAAAAAAGGGACAGCTGACATGAATGTGGCACAATCTTAATTATTGAATTGGGTAATGAGCACATTACCCAATGTGCACATTGGGTACAACATACATGTGTACATTTTGAAATTTTTCACAGTTTTAGCTCTTAGTCAGCTGTTCTCAAACTTTAACTGACCTATTGGCTCTGTCTCTTCTCTGTCAAGTGACTCCCCGGTAAGTACATGTCATTTGACCAAACCTGGAGGAGGTGATTACCTGACAGCTTTTGTTTGTTTGTTTTAAAGGCCTTTTTCAAGTCCTTGTCTTATAGCTGTGAACAGCTGTTTAAAAACTTGTGGCATCAGGCAGCTCTCCCTCGCACCTGTGACTATGAAGGTGCCTCTCTTTCTTTCTCTTCATAATCTACCTATCCTTTTATAGTGTGGAAAAAAAAATAAAAACTTGTTGCATCTGGGCAGAGCAAATCTGAAAAAGCCCACCAGGCACTTGCAAATGATGTGACTGGGTCTGCTGCCAGGCAGGGCTGGGGTGAGGGGCAGCTCTGCATTTGCTAGACATCAGAGGGTGCCTCCTTAAATCCTCTAGGGCTCTGGCCTTGTCTTAGTCCAGCTCCTAGGGCTTTGGGTGCCTCAACACAACTCCCAGAAAACTAAAAATCTGGACGAGCTCCCAGAGCCAGTCAGGAGATCCTGCCCACTCCCAGCACCCTGGGATAAGAGAAGAAGGAGGTCTAGAGGAGCAGTCTCATGGTCTCTCTGCTAACAAGGTAAACGCCCATTTAGGGGATTATGTGGCCCCTCTCGGAAGCCCTGACTTTGCCCACCTCTCCCTAGTTCCAAAAAGCAGTAAATGGATATATGTGCAGAATGCGCTACCTCACTATTGCCTCTCAGAACAAAGACCGGGCCAGCGATTGCCACCAACGCTGAAAGACAGGAGCCAGGCAGCTCATCTCACCTGAGCCTCTGCTGCCCCTGCTGGTCTCTCTGAACAGTATTTTCTGCACCAGAGAATTACTGAGAGTGGGTCAACTCTGACGGACCTGGAAAACTGAACTGATTAAATTGATTCAAAAATAAACTTTAACAGCCTCTCTGGTGGTACAAGGGGTTAAGTCTCAATGCTATCAAGCTATCACCAGCCACTGCAGCACGAGTTCGATCCCCGACCAGGGAGCTGACCCACAGGGCACAGCCGACCTCTCCTGATCCTCCCCTCAGCAGTTTATTTCAGTCAGTCCGCCTGTTCTGCTCCCCACTGTCTCTGGTGACTCCTCTCACCCCCACCACAAATCTCTGGTCTACACCCAAGTTCTTGCATGCATAAATAAACAAAACATCTTTAAATAAATTTTAGGAAAAAGGGAAAACTGGAAAATGCTCATATTAGATTCAGGTGTCTTTTGGCTCCAAGACACAAGCACTGGGTGGCCCTAGAGAGGCTCTGGGCCCTCCAGGCTCTCTGAAGCACAGGCCCCAGGAAGGCGAAAATAACTTCCCTGCTACTTTACAGGCATGGAAGCAGATTTTTTGTTCTATTTTTGTGAAAAATGCCATTGGACTTTTTTTTAAAGATTTATTTATTTATGCATATAAGAACTGGGGTACAGAGGCCTCCCTGGTGGTGCAGGCGGTTGAGTGCAGCGCTGTTAAGCTGTCTGCAGCCTCTGCAGTGCCGGTTTGATCCCTGCCGGCCACGAAGCAACCCACATAGTGTGGCAGGCCTCTCCTGACTCTCCCGCTGCTCTCCTCAGCAATGTATTTCAGTCAGTCTGCCTGTTCTGTTTCCCGCTTTGTCTCTGGTGAATCCTCTCACCCTCCCGCATATCTGGCCTGTACTCCAGTATACCTAAATAAATCTTTAAAAAAAAAAAAAGGGAACTGGGGTACAGGCCAGAGGTGCAGGGGGTTGAGAGGATTTACCAGAGACAGAGCGGGAAACAGAACAGGCGGATTGACTGAAATACACTGCTGAGGGGAGCAGCAGGCAAGACAGGAGAGGTCTGCCGCGCCATGTCGGTTTTTCCCTGGCCGGCTGGGATCAAACCCATGCTGCAGAGGCTGCAGACAGCTTCACAGTGCGGCACTCAACCACCTGCACCACCAGGGAGGTCCTTGATGTCTTAATAGTTTTCAGGGTACAGGTGTTTCATCTCCTTGCTTAAATTTATCACTATTCTTTTTGGTGCCAGTGTAAAAAGGACTGATGCGCAGATTTGTATGTGTGTTCATTTTGTATCCTGCAATTTTATTTTATACTTTATGTTCTAAGTTAGGGTTTTGTTTTTTTTTTTTTTTTTTAAATCTGTGTATGTTATCCAGAGTGAGTTTTACTTCCTTTCCAATTTGGATGCCTTTTCTTTCTCTTCAAAGCTAGCCAGTGGGAAACCTGATTCAAACTCTACTTTGAAGCCCACTTCTCCAGAGCCCAGGGCCAACTACCTTAGGGAAATGGAGACAGTGCACCCTCTTGACTGTTTCCGGTAACTGACAGGCCTGAGACCTGAGCATCTCTTCCCCCCCCCCCCCCCGACTGGCCAAAGGCTGAGGAGCTAACCCCAGTCCACTTCCTCTCCCAAGCAGAGACATACCAGCTCCCAGTCACAAGAGCATCTTCTCCTTTAAATCTTACAGTTGGGGCCTCCCTGGTGGCGCAAGGGTTTAAGCACCGCACTCTAGAAATCTGCAGCCTCTGCAGCATGAGTTAGATCCCCAGCCGGCCAGAGAGAAACCCACATGGTGAAGCAAACCTCTCCTGGCTCGCCCGCTGCTGCCCTCAGCAGTGTATTTCAGTCTGCCTGTTGTTCCCCACTCTGCCTCTGGTGAATCCTCTCACCCCCCACATCTCTGGCCTGTACCCCAGCTCTTGTATGCATAAATATTTATAAAAAATAAAATAAACCTTACACTTGCAGAAGCCCACATTGGACTGAGCACTGTGGAATGTTGAGAGCTCAGCAGTAAACAGAGCCTGGGCCCACACTCTGGGGCCCTACGTACACTTTAGTGGTAGAGCATGAAGTACACCTGGGTCCCGTCATAGCTAACAACTCTAGTCCATACAACTTACAACAAACCCTGGAAGCCGAAGCTACTAGAATGGGGGGCAAAAACATGATAGGGCTTCTCTAGGAGAAGCTTAACCTCTGGCCAAAGACAAAGCCATGTGTTCTTCAGGCTATGACAAAGCCCAAAATTGCTCCTAGTACATTGCCAGTTGTTGCCAACCACTGTTCTGAGCGTCACAGCTAAGTCTGCGTAGGATACACCTGGCTTGAAATCTGAGTGGCAGTTCAAAACGGCCTCAGACAATGAAGATATGCAGTCCTTTCAATACTTCTGATCACAGTGAAGAACAAGTCTCACTTTGATGCCAACGTGTCTCAAACCTTTCCCTGCAGTTGGTTATCTGTTTAACAGAGAGGTGATGATTTAGGTCCACAGTCTTTGGCAAATTAACAATGTAGGATTACAATTTAGTGTCATTTGCCTTTTGTCTCATTGCATTTGGTTTTTTATAACCATTTATTTTTATATTCAAGGTTTATTTATGGCCAGTGATAGTAATATTTAATCATTTCTAACAGGTTGTTGTTACGATTGAAGAGAGTATCACAAGTTTGAGGACTAAATCAGAGTTGGTAATCTCTCATGACTTTGAAAAAAATAAATGCTTGAACCTTTTTCCTTTGTAAAACAGGAAATGTTGATTTATAAGATGCTCCCCTGCCCCCAAAATAAGAATAGAAAATCACCATGTGCCCAATGCACACAGAGTACGAATGGCAATACACATCACAACAAAGATGGTTGTTTCAGCTTCTGGTTTTATTAACTAGCCAAAGAACACCTAAGTGACAAAGGTCATCTCATTCCTCTCACTTAAGTACCATGTTTGTACAGTGACATATTCCTTCCCATAGTATTGTTTTTAGGGTTACTTAGGTGTAACATAACCAGAACCTATGCTTCCACATAGACACTCAGATCAGAAAATTCTTTCCGCTTTAAGTCACTCTAACACTGCTATCAATACACATGTTAAAAACGGGCTGTTTTTGCAAAGTTTCCCTGAAATTCCAAAGTAAGATCAGTATCAGTCGTCTGGTTTGGTATTGCTTATGTAAAATGTTATTATTTGGAGCAAGATGGGTCAAGTGTACACAGGATGTTTCTGTCTTACTTCCCCAGTTTCCTCTGTGACTATACTTATTCCTAAATAAAACTTAAAAAAATTAAATGTTAGTCATGAAAATTAAAGAGATGTTAAACATTTCAGCTCAAAACTTAAAAAGAAAACCTGAAAGATCTTATGAGAGTTTGAGAGTCACCTGACAAATGTAATACCTCAGTCAGTGGGAGTGTGAAGATAGATGAATGCTTATTTATGTGTAAGGCTCATTACTAGCTCTGGCAGTGATAAATACGGTGCTGTCCCCTCACCCCCACCAACTCCTAGACCAAAAAGACTGAATTTCTCTCTTAAAAAGGTGAGTGGGGCAAGGCCCCAGGACTTTGTAAACACCCAGGTAGAACACTCCACAAATAAATGATTTCAGTCACTCTGCATTTGAGGCACACTCACACCAATTGCACAATCCCGGGTGAAGAGTCTGCCGGGACTCAGAACCTGGCAGGGACCCAGACCTCACTCGGTTTCATCTTGGGATCTCCTCTGACTGCACAAATGAGTCGGCTTGGCTCAGGACGAGCCTGTCCTTCTTCTCCTTCTGCAAGACCTGCTCCTCCCACAGAGCCTGGTCCACCTGATCGTCGGTGAGCACCACAGGCTTGTACTTCTCTTCGAAAAGCCGCTCGTTGGCCTCAGAATGCAGTTGGTGGGGTCCAACGACGCGCAAATGTGCTGGCAGGTGTAAGAACTCGTCGTCGTTAATATCGCAGTCGCGCATCCGGGCCGCCAGTACCCACCAGCGGCCCACGAAGCCCACATCCAGGATCCTGTCCGGGAAGTCAGCCCAGCGGGGCTGCAAATAGCGGCAGCGGGCCTGATAAAGGCTGGCCTGGGCGTCGAAGGGGGCCTCGTACACTAGTGAGCCTAGGCCCAAGTTCACATGGCGCAGGCGACCACGGCCCCGCAGCCAGAGCAACCTCTGCACGAACGCTTCGGAGTCACGGTTGCGCGTGGCGGGAGCCAACAGCAGAAGGGTCCCGGAAGCGTCGAGCAGCGCCTCCTCGAAGGCTGCCTCGCTCGGCGCTAGCGCGCAGCAGGCCGCCGCGCCACCCAGCAGCCCCATGTACACAGCCGCACGGCCGGGCCGGACCCGCGCAGCCGCCGCAGTATCCCTGCAGGCTTCAGCATAATCCCGGAGCAGGGCACGGGCCCAGATGCCTGAGAGAGAAATACGGTGAGAACGGTCCGGCTCCTGTGGCCACCCATCCCGTCACTTTCCTTCGCTACTCACCAAAGCGCGCCCACACGCCCGGCTTCGCGGCCGCTGAGTCACCCGCCTCTCCCCAAGCTTGGGACCAAAATCTCTTTACGGCGGCCGTCGCCATCCTCTTCCGTCTGGGCGACCGGTCTCCGACGGGAAACGCCAAATACGTGAAATAAAAGGCCCGGGAGTCTCTTTTGCGCAAGCGCTCTATCATCGGAAGTAGTTTCCCTTCGGAAAAGAATAGAAATGGACCGGCACCGGATATTGCGTCTAGTTCCAGCTGGGATGTGGTGGGTGGGCGGGCCGCGCAGGCGCAAAAGGCTGCGCGACGCCGACTGAAGTAGCCTCAGGTGAGGGGGGCGGGGTGCACCTGTGGGCTAGGGCGGCGAGTGGTCTACCTTTAGCAGCCTGGCGGGACTCAAGACTGAATGATAGACTCCGGGAGGGGCGCTGAGGGAGGCTGGGGGTGGCCCTGATTGGCCTCTGTCCTTACAGTGGGATGCGGTGACGCCCTTGAGCGACAATGGCAGCTGTGGACGAGCTGGCCTTCCATGGTGAGTGTGCCTGAGACCTCGCCCAACTCCCAGCCCCGCCGTTGGCGGAAAACTTCCGTCCACATTCCAATTCATACCTAACCAAGTCAGCTGTAGGCCGTGACCCGAGACCCCGAGCCCTGACACAGGACGGACCCTTCTCTAAGTCGACCCCCTTCCACCCGTGTACTCAGACCTCAAAGCAAAGTCCCGACTGCAGCCCTGACCCAATTCCAGAACCAGCCCTAAATTGCAGTCTCATGTCTGCAGTGAGGGAACACACCTCCTTCCCACTCCCCAGAATTGCCAAGTCAGTCCTTGCTGGGCAGAGCACAGAGGTGGCCATCAGATGAGCAGTGGGTCAGACCAAATTGTATTGAACCTCAAAACATGTCTGTCACCTACATTCCTTCTTGATAGAGTTTGAAGAAGCCACTACTCTGTTGGCTGAGAGCCCTGACGCTGTCACCACAAGCAGAAGCGATCAACTGACCCCACAGGGCCATGTGGCTGTGACTGTGGTCTCAGGTGGTAACTATGGAGCTGAGAACGAGGAGGAGAGTGACAAGACTGCGGTGAGTCATATATTTCCTGTGCCTGGCACGTGACTCAGTTGGCGAGGGCAAGCACTGAAAGCCCACATTGTGCAGCTCCTACAGGAAGAGCAGCAGCAGCAGCCTGGATTCTGGACCTTTGGCTACTATCAGAGTTTCTTTGATGTGGACACCTCTCAGGTCAGTCTTGGGAAGCTGGTGGGATGGGGCTTGGACTCACCCTTGGGGTTCAGCCACTGCTCACCAAGCACTTCCTGTGTATCGGTCCTGGGCAAGATGCTGGCCATACCCATGTGGCCAGCTATTAAAAGAGTTTTAGCCCAGGCTGTTAGAGATAATTGTGGTGCGTTGTAACGACTATAGCGTGACTGGGCTGGGTTTCTTGGGAACATGTTATATGTGTTAGCTGAGGAGGTGAGGAATTTGCTGAGACATAAAGAAGATCTAGTCAGGCTGAGTGGAGGAAAGCATAAGTATGTTCCAGGCAGAGGAAACAGCACATGCAGTGAACCAAAAGTGAGAGAAGACATGAGCTGCTGCAGTAGCTACTTGTCCTTGATCTCATTGGAGAGTATGTGGGGGACAGGTAGGCAGAAGCCAGATCACAAAAGGCCTTAGGAGCTATTTGGGTTTTATCCCGAGGGTGCTGGGGGAGTCCTTGGAGGGTTTAGAGAAAAATGAGGAGAATGAGCGGACATGTAGCATGGAGTGTAGAATGTGGATGGCACACCCCAGGCCAAGGTGGGAGAGGACCATAAACCAGGACTGCAGAGTTGTTGAAAAGAGATGGAGAATGCTCTGGAATCATTGACTATCCTTATTGAAGCTTGGGGTAGGGAGGAGAGGCAGCAAGGTTTGCCCAGGGCAGCCAAGCTGTGAGGAATAAGGATGATGACAAGCCCAGTAAGTCCTTGAGAGTGGTGGGAACTGGTCCAGAAGGGCTTGAGCCCATCAAAAACCCAGGGGGAAAAGCTGAGCCCTCAGCAGAGTGTGAATAGAGGAAGTGGAAAGTCATCAGGTAACGATTATCTCAGGTCTTCAGAGGAGGTTGGTGCCTTTCCTCTGGGTGGTGGGATGCCCCAGGCAAGTTTCCTTGCTGGCTTGGCCCTGCCCTCAGGTCCTGGACCGAATCAAAGGCTCCATCCTACCCCGACCTGGCCACAACTTTGTACGACACCATCTGCGGAATCGGCCAGACCTGTATGGTAAGTGAAGTCGTGTGTTCTGCTTACTCAATTATTCATTCAACAAATATGAACTGAGTACCAGACCTTGGTAGACAGCTGAGAACAAAGCAGCCAGTCACAGAGAGCATGGAACTTAAACATTCTATCCACGAAGAGAGAGACATGAAAGATTACAGGGAGCAAGATACTGAGAAGCAAATGGTTTGAGGAGAGTGGGTGTTTTGCATGGTTAGTTATGGAACACCGGCCATTCTAAGCCTTGTTGGTGTCAGGACTGGGGTGGAGGGTGAATAGAGGAAGGACATTCCAGAAAGGGTATAGGCCCTATGGTGGAAACATACCCAAACTGCAGGGCAGCATTGTCATTGGAGTGAGCTTCTAGGTGGTTTTAGATGTCATGGGACATTGCACAGACCTCCCACACTGATGAGAAAGGATTATAATTAAAGGGCTCTTATGCTGCCTGTGGCTATTCTGGTGCCTGGGGTCGGGGAGCAGTGAGGGCAGAAACTGGGAGACCACTGTGGTCCAGGTATGGAATGGTGGGGCCTAGTCCTGGTGGAAAGAGGAGTGGTTGGATTCTGAAATGGATCTAGAAGGTGGAGCTGGTAGGATTTGTTGACGCTAGCTGTTGGGCAGGAGGAGCAGAGCCAGTGTTGGTGCCATGCTTTTTTTGCCCGCACTACTACAAGGAACAGATCTGCTATTTATTGATGGGAAAGCCAAGCAGGTTTGAGAGGAAAGAGGAAGTGTAGGAGGTGGTGAGGAAGACATTGGATATAAGTCCAAAGTCGAGCATAGGGTACCTGAGGTGTTTGTGAGTTGTTGTCATAGTGGTGACATAAGAGCCCTGAGGCTGGATGAAATCACACAGGGGTAAAGGCAGATGGGAGAGTGGGCTGGGGAATTGCCCAGTGAATTTGCCAGTGAGCTCAGAGCAAAGCCAACAGTGCAGTCATGGGAGCCACATGGGAGTGTTTCCAGGAGCAGCTCAGCCCCGCCAAAGGCTGCTGAAAGGCCCAGAAAAGTGAGTGCAGAGAACTAGCTTGGGATTCAGTCACCAGGTGATAAGAGCAAGATGGAGTGGGTGGAGACAGCCCGGAGCTTGGGTAGAGGTGGCGATCTCAGTGCTGTTGACGAAGCAGATCCATCTGTCCTAGGAGCTCTGGGCTTGGGACTCTAACCACACCTGGTCCACAGGTCCCTTCTGGATCTGCGCCACCCTGGCCTTTGTCTTGGCCATTACTGGCAACCTCACCCTGGTATTGGCCCAGAGGAGGGACCCGTCCATCCACTACAGCCCTCAGTTCCACAAGGGTAAGCACAGGAGGTTCAGCACAGCACCTGGCGGGACTGGCGGTGCCACAGACTCCAAGGGGTGACTACCTGTCTTAATCCACAGTGACCGTGGCTGGCATCACCATCTACTGCTATGCATGGCTGGTGCCATTGGCACTGTGGGGTTTCCTGCAGTGGCGTCAGGGCACTCAGGAGCGCATGGGCCCTTACACCTTCCTGGAAACTGTGTGTGTCTACGGCTACTCTCTCTTTGTCTTCATCCCCACTGTGGTGAGTTTGGCCCAGGGACTACTGGTGACAGGTAGTCCCTACAGGTGCTGTAGGGACAATTCAGTAGCCTGGTCCCCATGTCTCCCTCAGGTTCTGTGGCTTATTCCCGTCCCATGGTTGCAGTGGCTCTTTGGGGTGCTTGCTCTGGTCCTGTCCGCTGCCAGCCTGGTGTTTGCCCTCTGGCCAGTTGTCCGTGAGGACACCAGGTTGGTGGCTGCAGTGCTCCTCTCCACCATCGTGCTGCTTCATGCCCTCCTGGCCATGGGCTGTAAGGTACAGCTCTGGGTGGTCACAGGCTGAGCCTTTGGGTTGGGATTTGGCTCACTGACCCTGACACTGACCTTGTGGGGTGGGGGGGGTTTCGGTTCAGGTTTACTTCTTCCAGCCACTGCCACTGCCTCCAGAGAACATGGCTCCTCCACCCCAAGCTACATCTCTGTCTCCAGATATACATCTACCATCTACTCTGCCAAGATCCGTGTCAACCTAAGGTACCACCTATAGGTAAGAAACTGTTTCAAACTGGCTGAGGGAGTTTCCAGACTCTCTTCCCCATGGGAGAGGTCATGGGATCACTCCAAGGAGTTTCTTTCTTTCAGGCCTGACATGAGCAGACACCTCTGCTTGCCCTGCCCCACAGATGATGACTAAAGGCTCCTTTGACACTTCAAGATCATTCTGCTACTTTCCAGACTTTTCTTACAAAGCAAACACTTTTATTTTCTATGCAAAGGTGATTGAGAGTTTATATAAATGCGGGAAAGGGACAGCTGAGCAGGGACCTTCTAGTGTGGCTCAGGTAGGCAATGCAGCCTCAGACTGCTCCAGGCTGCCTGCTGGGCCTTCTGCTATCCCTGATGGAACACATGGGAGAGCAAAAGGGCTACCTCAGCCTCAACTGTGCTCACCCTCCCGGGGTGCCCAATTAATAGGGCCTTGGCCTAGCCTGTGCTCCACATTTGAGTTTGGGGTATTAGAAACAGGGAGCAGAAGTAGAAGAAAATTGCCTGTGCTGAAACATACATTTCCTTATTTATTTTGTTTCTAGGTGGTTTGTGTCTGTTTTTGTCTTGTTTGTTTTTTCTTGAGGGAGAGGTCCCCACAAGGCCCGTTCCCAGGCTGGGGAGGGACCCAAATGCCATCATAGTTGTAGGGACTGGAGCATCTACAAATAGGAGGGGAATACACAGGCCTAATGTAGCTACACGGGAAAAGGATGCCTTCCAGGACAGATCCTTGAGGTTTCTATGTTGGGCCCCAGGCAGCTGATGACGACCCTTTTTCCCTTCAGGCCCGGGCCGGCAGGGCCCATTCTAGCTCCAGGTGTGGGAGGGAGACCTGCAGTGCTCAGTGATAGGACAGCAGCAAGAGGCAGGGGCCAAGGATGGGGGCCTTCCCGACAGCCGGGTGGTTGTACATTCAAGTGTGAGGTGAACCCTTTGGTGGGAGGGGGGCCTGGGGCTCCAGAGGCCTGGCCCACCCCCAGTCCCAAAGCCTTTGCAGGGCCGCCCCTCCGCACTGAGCCTCTGAGTGGGGGAGAGGGGCTGCTGGCTCGGCCCGGCCGGCCTGGTTCTCAGAGGGTCTGTGGATTGACACTGGTTTTTGTTTTTTTTTTTTTTCGTAAAAAAATAAAATTAAAAAAAGCAGCATGTCACGCCCATGGTGACCAAGGCCTGGTAGTTGAATGGAGGCCCTGCCTGGTTAGGGCTGCTTGCCCACTGGGGACAGGCAGGGGGGCTGGCGCTGAAGGACTAGGTGGATGCAGCTGTTCCCCTTTGCCCTCCCTATTGGGTAGCAGCTACCAGGCCCACACACGCCCATTATGGTAGATGTCAAACCCAGGTCGGGGTGTAGGGCAGGAAGGAGAACGGGGCTCCCACAATATGATCTTGTGTAAAACATGGCAGCAACACACGCTCAGGGCCAAGATGTGGGGGTTGGGGACGGCGGCGGCAATGTTCGTGTAAAAAAGTGTCCAAGTTCCCATAGCAAAGAGGGCTGTGACCGGTGTTTGGGCTTCTCCAGTACAGGGGTGAAAGCCGCCCGCAGAGAGGGGGGTGGGCGGGTCTTCATTTGGTTTCCTGGTGCTGTCAGTCCGTTCTGCTGCAAGGGCCTAGCTCCCATAGTGCATGGTGTTGGTTGGGATGGACATGGGTGAGGCCATGGAGATGGCGGGGCCACCCATGGTGAACTGGCTGTTGACCGCGTAGTGGGCACTTGAGCCACCGCCACTGCTGCCCTGGGCACCTGAGGACCCTGTGGAACAATGCATGGGCACTGAGGGGCCAACCTTGGCCCCTCGCCCACCTGGACCCACAGCAGAGTCAGAGAGAGAGAGAGACAGAGAGAGAGACAGAGCAGGCAAGAGGGCAGGTGGCCCAGCGGTGGGCGCACACACACCCGCAGGACCCACATCCCGGCCCGTGTTACCTTGGACAATCCCTGTGCTCATTATGGAGCCCATCCGGGAGTGGGTGTGATTGACAATCCCCGTGTTGGCTGCGCAGCAGGAGGAAGGAAGGAAGGAAGGGAGACGGTGTCACCGCCCCCAGCCTGCCCTGGCCACCTTGTCTCAGTGATGCTCACACTTCGCTCTCAGGCAGGGGCGTGGGGAGGGCAGTGCAGTGGCAGAGCGAGGCAGAGAGGAACGGAGACCCCAGGAAGAGAATGTGCTGGTGGCAAAGGTGGTACAGAAGGCCCAAGCACAAGGGCATCCTAGGCACCACCCACCACTCCCAGACCCAGGGGGATACTCACCTAAAGGAATCAGGTTGTTGTGGCCCACACTAGAGCCTCCGGCGATAACACTGCTCAGGTCATAGGCTGTTGGCATCCCTGTGCCCAGAGAGGGAGATGTCAGGTGTGAGGGACAGGGTCCTGTTGGGGGAGCTTTGCCAGGGAGTGCTGGTAGGAGTGACCAGGAAATGGCCCTGCTGTCTGACCGCCAAACCCACTAGGGTCTGCTCACCTGCCACAGCCATCCCACTGCTGAGGTTGTAGGTGCTGCCTGTGTTCCACATGTTCTCCGAGGGGGACGTGTAATGGGAGCCCGGCGGGGGTGAGGGTGTCGTGCCTGTGTATCTGTGGCAGAGATGGATCCGTGGGCAGGGCCGAGGGGCTGCGAGCCAGGCAGGCACCTCCCACATCGACCAAGGACCCATCCTACCTGAAGAAGGGGTTTTTTAGATCCAGGAGGTTACTGGACTTGGAGCCCGTCTGGTCTACTTGGGCCACAATACTGATGTCGTAGCTCTGTCTGCGGAGGATGGGAGAGCAGCCATTAGATTAGTGAGTGGATGACCCCTGCCAGCTCCCCAAGCCCTGGATGGCACCTTGTACCTTTTGTTGGCAATAAGCAGACATGTCCCTGAGAGCGTGTCCCCAGCCTTGGCAAACAGTGGTGACTGGAACAGGCACCGGACCTGGTACCAGTGAGTCAAGGGCTCTGTTGGGGCCGTGGACAGCCACACGGTCATTCTGCCGAGCAGGGACAAGTACACACTGACTGAGCTGGAGCCACTACTGTGTATGTTGAGCTCTCCCCAGGCGCCTGTCCCTTCTGATGGGTCCCCTAGGGCCCTGGCACTGGGACAGACTGCCACCCAGGTATATATGGCCACATAGGTGCCAAGAGATACACCAACCAGGTCCCACAAAGGACCAGTCAAGTCAGAACAGGGTGAACACCACCCCCATATACCCCCGCCCAAAAAGAAGAAAACTAGGCTCTTGAAGGCCAGCTCTTCCTGCCTTTTGGAAGGGACAGGGGAATGAGGAGTCATGTCCTGCCCTCCTGGCCCCTAGGCTTAGGGGTTAGAGCCACAGGGAGCTCCTTGGGGTTAGGACTAGGGCAGGGAGCAGCATGTTCAATTGCACTCACATGGAGCCAATGAAAGCGACGTCAAACCAGAAAGCCAGACCATGAACTAGCCCTGAATGCAGCATGTGGAATTTGAATGGGATTTCTATCCTGGAAGGCAAAGGACAGTGGTGGCTAGGAAAGCCAAATAGGGACTGCCAGGAAGAAGAGGAGACATCTGGTGGCCCCAACCACCTGCCCAGAAGGAGGGGACAGGTGCCCATACCTGTGCAAATCTCCTTCTTTGGCTTCTAAGAAGTTCACTGTGTACTTGACAGACTTGGCCATCAGGATCCGGATGTCAAATGTGTCCTGGAAGAGACCACAGGTGTGACCTGGCTTACACTGCAGAGGTCAGTGAGAAAAGGGAGGCCCCTGCCCCTCTCCCTTTGGCCATAGCCTCTAAGCCATTCAGCTAAAGCCAGCATGTCTTCGTCAGACGTGCTAACAGGAGGATGAACTGCTGCAACACCATGGAGGGCAATTGGGTTAAAGCTTTCAACATGACCACTATACACTGCATTAAAGACTTGGCACTTTCACTTCTGGGAGTTGAACCTACAGATATATATATACGCATGTATGAATTCACATGAATAATCACAGACTGCCTATAGAAGCAACATTGAAAATATCTAGTTCTGAAGGGGCCAAGATGCTCAAGAAAAGGGAAATGCAGAAATGAAAGATGTGTTCTATTTGTGATTTGCAGCATTTGCTGATTCCTAAGCTATGTCTGGGGTGGGGTGTAAGGCCAAGAAACCAAGTAGAAAGCTGCTTCTAAGAGACTCAAAAACTTAAGGTAAAGGAAGGGGACCAGTGAAACACTGGGCTGGCCCTGACACCTCGTAAGGGTCCACCCAAAAGCAATGCTCTCAAAGTATGGGCCCTTTCAGCACACACTTCAAGGTCAAAATTATTTTCATAATAGCACTAAGATGATTTCTGCCTTTTTCATTCATTAAATGCAGAAGCAGAATTCAGCTGTCTTCTATTAAGCTACATACTTAAGAAATCTGCAAATCAAAAATGCCACTATTCTCACTGAAAGGTTTTCTTGGAACATTTTCTCATCAAAATGCTTTTTATGGGGGCCTCCCTAGTGGCACAAAGGTTAAAGATAGCACTATCAAGTTATCACCAGCCACTGCAGTATGAGTTCAATCCCTGGCCGGCCAGGGAGCAACCCACATGGCATAGCAGACCTCTCCTGCCTCGCCCGCTGCTCCCCTCAGCAGTGTATTTCAGTAGCTCCTCCTGCTCCCCACTCTCTCTGGTGAATCCTCTAACCCACCCACCCCCACCTCTGGCTTACACCCACCCCCACCTCTGGCTTACACTGGCTTACACTGGTATTTATGCATACCAGTTCTTGTATGCATAAATAAATCTTTAAAAAAATGCTTTTTATGTTAAGATATAATGGATTTTTATTATTTTAAAATGAATTAATAAACCTGTATTTAAAAGTTTTTTGGGTTTGTAATATTAACAGCTATCAATAGATACAACACACAAATTCTTACAGATCCCCCATTCTTGAGAACAAAAAAGGGCCCTAAGACTGAAAAGTATGAGAAATGCTGTCATATACGGGAGCCAGGAACTAGATCAGCCAAATGTTTTAGACTGAAAAGCAGTCTTCAAATCTCTCAAATGTCTGATAGGACCAATGTGATCTGTCCATATGGCTAACTGCTTGGAGAAAATAAACCCCTGAAAGGAAAAATATCATTCAGATTCTCTAAAAATTATCATTCTAACATTTAATGACCAGACATACAAAGAGACAGGATCAAAGTATGAGAATCAAAAATCAAGAGAATAAACACATTCACCTCTTACCCAGATATGAAAAAGTGATCATACACTTAAAATTAACATGTTCAAGAAATAAAGGTGAAAAATGGAGAATTTCACAGAGAATTGAAACAATAAAAGATAAACAAAATGAAATTCCAGAACTAAAATTAAGAAATCAGATTAGAAATAGAGGCCTATAAGATGGATCAGGAGAAAATGAAACTACTGAGAGAAAAAGGATGGAAAATATAGAAGAGTGTAAGAATCACCTGAGACTTGTTGAAAAGGTCTGGTGTACACATAATCTTCTCCCAGGGGGAGAGAGAATGGGACAAAGAATGTTTAAAGAGATGCTGCCCAAGAGTCTCCATAACTAGTGAAAGTAAACAAGAGAAAAGCAGTAGTAAAATATACCTAATTAAAACAAAAGACAAGAGAGTCTCCCTGGTGGCATAGGGGTTAAAATTTCAGCACTATGACCCTATCAGCACTATGACCCTATCGCCAGCCACTGAGGCCTGAGTTCGATCCCCAGCCAGGAAGCTGACCCACATGGTGCAGCAGACCTCTCCTGTCTCACCTGCTACTCCCCTCAGCAGTGTATTTCAGTAGGTCCACGTGCTCATCTCCCTACTCTGTCTCTGGTGAATCCTCTCACCCACCCTGCCTGCCGCACCTCTGGCCTACACCCCAGTTCTTGTATGCATAAACAAATAAAAATAAATCTTTAAAAAAAATGCAAGAGTTAAAAGAAACAAGAGAAACAGAACAGTAAGATGATAGATTTATATGCATAAAACCCAATAATTACTGGTAAGTGCTGGTAAAACATTCTACTTGAAAGACAAAAAAAAAAAAAAATTCAATCTGGGTAATAAACAAAACCAAATATGCTGCTTACAGGACACAAACCTTAAGTAATAAGAACTCAAAATGATTCAAAATAGAAGAATGGATAATCATTTACTGTGCAAAGAACAAAAGCAAGCCAGAGTAGCCAACCCACTCTCAAGAGAAAGTAAAGCATGTACTACTAGAGATAAAATAATTAATCAAAAAAGAAGAATATCTTATAATCCTAAATGTGTATGCATTATTAGCATGGTGTCAAAAATTATAAGGCAAAACCTTTCAAAACTAAAAGGGAAAAGAAGTCTACAATCGATAGGAAAGGTAGATAAAAAATCAGTAGATATAAGGCCTCCTTGATGATGCAGGGGTTAAAGGCACAGAGCTATCAAGCTACTGGCAGCCACTGCAGCATGAGTTCTATCCCCGGCCAGGTAGGGAGCTACTCACAGGGCGCAGCAGACCTCTCCTGTCTCACCTGCTGCTCTCCTCAGCAGTGTATTCTGCTCCCCACTCTCTCTGCTGAATCCTCTCAT